CGAGCCTATAATGGAGTACTATATGCCCACAACCAGAATCAAACCTGAAACTCTTCAGTCTGCAAGCCGAAACTCTATCCACTGAGCCAAACCAGCTAGGGCAAATAGTTATTGTTTTAAGTTATTAAATTTGGGGTGGTTTGTTATACAGCAATAGATAACTAAAACATTACATCACTGTGTCAAAAGAAAGAGGCCTTCTGAGAAATTGTACATGGGTTCTTAAAGTTTTTGCTTGGAAATGTCAAAGATCACTTCTACTTCATTGGCCATGCCTAGTTCAAAGGAGTAGGAAAGTGCAAATCCAGGGAGGCATGCACATAAGGAGGAAAAGGAGAGTGGAAGAGTCAGAAAAGAAATGAGGCAAAAGGAGAAATTTTAAGACCAAAAGGAAAATTTCAAGAACAGAATAGTCAAGAAAAGCATAAAATAAAAGGCCAAAATTGGTATGGGCAAGGTGTTCATAGAAATGCAAAGAAAGAGATCAGTGTGGGCTCAGACATGGGACAGAGGTAGCATTAGAGAAGGAACTGGAAGGTAGCAGAATTTGGATGGTTGGAGAGAGAAGGGTACTTTCAATGAGGAAATAGCATGAGTAAATTCTTGAATGGGGAATGAACTTAGCAATGGGGGGGGGGCGGGTATAAGATTAGGTATTGTACAGGAGAATATATCACTGAAATAAAGGGTGTGTCAGGTGTAACAGAAAAAGTGGATTAGGTTTGCTGTGGAGGGGGAGGGCAGAGAAACGGTTTGTGGTTTAATGGAGGCCCGTGAGTGCCAGTTAAGAGTTCTGAGTTCTTTTCTTTAAATAGGTGAGCATCACTGAAGATAGGTGCCAGAGTAAAGGAAACCAACATACAAGACTAGTTCTTTCATGTGGGAATGAAGGAGGGGAAGACGGAGTAAGCCACTGGTTGGACAATTATTGCAGCATTCAAAGCAGGAATATCCTATTGGGAGAGATCATTACCCAGGGGAGAAAAAGGAAAAAGTCTCTCCCAGACTAGATCAGGAGGCTTAGAATGAGAATAAGTTAGTCAGAGGACTAAAAAAATAAAAGAGGAAGGGCTTCAAATGTGGAGAAGCTGAGATAATTATCAAGGGTATAAAAGAAAACATCTAATTTTTTTTTTTTTAAATCCTCACCTGAGAATATATTTCCCATTGATTTTCTGAGGGGGAGGGAGGAGGGGAGAGGGGGAGGGGGGAGGGGGGAAGGAGAGGAGAGGAAGGGGGAGAGAAAAAGGAGGAGGGGGAGGGGAGAATGGAGAGGAGAGAGGGAGAGAGGGGATGGGGGAAAGAGGGGAGATGGGAGAGGGGGCGGGGGAGGGGGATGAGAGAGACACCTCTCTCATTAATTGGCTGCCTCCCCCACACGCCACCATCTGAACAGGAGATGGAGCCTGAAACCCAAGTATGTTGCCCTTGATGGGGAATGGAACCCAAGGCCCTTTGGTGCTCTCACTACTGAGCACACCAGCCAGGATACAAACATTTAAATTTTTACCTCCCATGGCAGATGATGTTTTTTACCTACCCTACATTCCCCACCCTACTTACTTCCTTGAGAACAGAACAATACTGCTTAATTCCTCTCTTCCCTCCAAACCAATCAAGGAAAATAAACCTACAAACTCATAATTGAGCTCCAAAGTAAATCCTGTTTGCTCTAAGCCAGTGGTTCTCAACCAGTACCATCTGTAGGGAGTGTGTGTGGGGTGAAGGGGAAGTAGGGCTTTTTGTTTTTGTTTTTCCTGTGTCACAATACCGCGGGTACATTACTGGCATTTAGTGGGAAGGGACCCATGATGCTAAAGGTCCGGCAATGCCCGCCACGGTCCTGTGTAAGAAGTGCCAAACGCCAGGTGAACACTGACCGGCCATGGTAGCCCCATGCTGTCAGTCACTGCTTTAGGGAACAGCTGGCGACACAGTGCTTGTCAGTATAAGGAGTGGCCTGTGATAAAATAGCCCATGGGGTGGTTTCCTTCTGCCGGTTGACACTGTCCTGCTGTAGGACGCCTGGGACTACCACGGTCATCTCTGCCCCAAATCAGTTTCTTCCCCATCTCCCTATTTCCATCACCAGCCTCTCCATTTCCTTTCAGAGTTCCAAGGCAGCCTCGACCTCTAAACCTTCATCTTCGGATGATTTGCTTGGGACAACAATGTGATTTTACTTCTGTTCTCCCAGTGTAATTAATAGTGCCCTCTTTCACTTCCAAACATGTTACTGATTGGATGAGTTTAGATCAGCGGTTCTCAACCTGGGGGTCAAACAACCCTTTCACAGGGGTCGCCTAAGACCCATCAGAAAACACATATAGCATATCAGATATTTACATTACGATTCATAACAGTAGCAAAATCAGTTATGAAGTAGAAACGAAAATAATCTTATGGTTGGGGGTCACCACAACATGAGGAACTGTATTAAAGGGTCACGGCATTAGGAAGGTTGAGACCCACTAGTTTAGATTATAGGGCCACTGACTTATTCCTAATTAAACCCTGTTCACTCTGCCTCAGGAAAATACCTCTAAAACAGGGATCAGCAAACTATGGCCTGTGGGCTGTTTTTACACTTCCAAGGAAGGGGGGGGGGGGGGGAGGTTTTTACATTTTTAAATTATTGAAAAAAGCCAATAGACTATTTCCTGATACCCCAAATTATATTAAATTAAAATTTCAGTATCCACAAATAAAGTTTTATTGGACCCCGGCCATACTGGTTCATATATATATATATATATATATATATATGTATATATATATATATATACTGGAGGCCCGGTACACAAAAATTTGTGCACTCGGGAGGGGGGAGGTCCCTCAGCCCGGCCTGTGCCCTCTCGCAGTCTGGGAACACTCGGGGGATGTCCACTTGCCAGCGGGGAGCAGGCCTAAACTGCTGTCAGACATCCTTAGCGCTGCTGAGGAGGCAGGAGAAGCTCCCACCACCACTGCTGTACTAGCAGCCGTCAGCCTGGCTTGTGGCTGAGCAGAGCTCCCCCTGTGGGAGTGCACTGACCACCAGGGGGCAGCTCCTGCATTGAGCATCTGCCCCCTGGTGGTCAGTGTGTGTCATAGCGACCAGTCATTCCCAGTCTTTCTGCCGTTAGGGTCAGTTTGCATATTACCCTTTTACTATATAGGATAGAGGCCTGGTGCACGGGTGGGGTCTGGCTGGTTTGCCCTGAAGGATGTCCCGGATCAGGGTGGGGGGTCCCCGCTGGGGTGCCTGGCCAGCCTGGGTGAGGGGCTCATGGCTATTTGCAGCTGGTCACACCCCCTTCGGGGTGGGGGTTCCCACTGGGGTGCCCGGCCAGTCTGAGTGAGGGGCTAAGGGCCGTTTTCAGGCTGGCCGAGCCTGTCAGCGACAGAAGCTCCCAGCCTTTCCTTTTTTTCTTTTTTATTCTGGGATTTATTTACCTTCTATAATTGCAACTTTGTTGCCTTCAGTGGAGCTGAGAGCCAGCTCCTGCTCGCCACTGGCAGCTGAAAGCAGGTATCTGGGATTTATTTATCTTCTATAATTGCAACTTTGTTGCTTTTGAGTGGCGATGAGAGCAAGTGGAGGCTGGCTTCCTCCATCACTGGAGCAAGCAAGCCTCCTGCTCACTTCAGCTCCATGGCTGCCTGTCCTTTGCCCTGTCATTACCTTCAGTGTCTCCTCCAAAACGCAGTATGAGGCCCAGGCCTCCTTTTCCAAGACTTTGCTCCTCTTCGCTACCTAAAACCAGAATGAACCACCCGCTGTTTAACTCCGGTCACATGTCACCACTGCTTGCCCAGGTCTCTCCTCCATCCCGTGGGTTCCTCAGGTTCAACGAAAACTGCGACTCCCCCCTTCGCACCTGCAGTGCGCAGTGCTTAGTAGTGGGGAGTGGGGTGTGGGTGTGGGTGGTGGGTGTGGGGAGTGGAGTGTGGGGTGGGCAACTCAGCGACACAAAGAAACCTGACCAGGGCCGGGGAGACAGAGACAGCACGTCCACCAACCAACCGAGTTCGCAAGAGTTGAGGGGCCGGTAACGAGGCTTCAGAGGTGACATTTAGGCCCGAACTCCAAGGACTCGAGAGACTAAAACGCTAGAAGGGCCACCTCATCTTATGCACTTCTCTGCCACCTCATGTGTCATGTAAGGAATAACGACACCTTTAGCCTAAAACCCGAGAGAAAGTTCTACAGCAGCACCCTTGACCCAAACCACCAGGGAGTGGCGGCGCGGGGCCGGTGTGCAGCGCCCGGACTTTCCCGGCGCCAAACCGCCCTGGTGCGGGCTCCGCGCCCTCTCCGCGCCCGGGAGACCCGCGCGTCGCCAAAACTTCAGGGCGGCAGCTGTCTGCGTGCCCCGGCTCCTGGCTTCCGGGCGGGCGCGACTGCGCCCTGGGGAGAGAGCGGTCCCTCACCGGTTTGTGCCAGCGGTTAAGACTGTCGCGGACTCCCACAAGCCACCAGCCCTCGCCCTCAGAAAGGCGCCCCCGGCCGGGCCCCACCTCCGCGGCCGCTTCGGAGCACGTGAAGCTGCCGGGCTGAGCGACGGCAAACAGGCGGTACTCGCGGACGCGAACCTAGGTCAGGCAAAGGAAGCGTTTCCCGGGCGCATGCGCACAAGGGAACTGGGCGGAGCGTTCCTCACGGAGAGCGCGCGGTGGAATGGGAAGCGCGTGGCGCCTCGGCCCCTGCGCACGCGCTGTGGCCTCGCCCCGCCCATGCGCGCGCGCGGCCGGCACTACCTATTTTCTTCGGTCCAGCCCCCCTCTTCCACTTCAGAGAGCCGGGAAGTGTGGGGCGAGGTGGGCGGGGCGTTGCACGCGAGCGCGGCCTGCAAAAAAGGGGAGGGGGAGGGAGATCCTAGACAACGTTACCCCGTCAACACCCAATCGGGAGCCGGCATGACCCCGCCTCCTGTCCTCACGTTATTGGCTGGGAGGCCAGGTGGGCGGGGCGGACCGTGGGGTTGGGGGCGGGCACGGGGCGGGGACAAGGAGGCAGGCGCTGGCGGGCAGTGATGGCGGCCGGTGATGGGGACGTGAAGCTAGGCACCCTGGGGAGTGGCAGTGAGAGCAGCAGCGAAGGCAGCAGCGGGAGCCTGGGCGGCGCGGGAGCGACAGCTGAAGGGGGTGGCTGGGCGGCAACGGCGTTGGCGCTTCTGACGGGGGGCGGGGAGATGCTGCTGAACGTGGCGCTGGTGGCGCTGGTGCTGCTGGGGGCCTACCGGCTGTGGGTGCGCTGGGGGCGGCGGGGTCTGGGCGCCGGGGCCGGGTCGGGCGAGGAGAGCCCCGCAGCCGCTCTGCCGCGCATGAAGAAGCGCGACTTCAGCTTGGAGCAGCTGCGCCAATACGACGGGTCCCGCACCCCGCGCATCCTGCTCGCGGTCAATGGGAAAGTCTTCGACGTGACCAAAGGCAGCAAGTTCTACGGCCCTGGTAAGGAGGAGCCGGAAGGGACGGGGAGGACCCCCTGCACCTCAAGCGCTACCCCCTTTAGAAGGGGAGGCCCCGGGCCCCGGGTCAGCTGGCGCAGCCTCGACCCAGCCTCCTCCAAGTCGGGACCTGCGCGCCTGAGCTGCCGCACCTGGGACAGCCCGCCCCGCGCACACCCCCAGCCGCGGGCACCTCCAGCTTGTCCCCTGAAGTCGGGGGCCCAGTGTGGCCCCAGGAAGCAGCTCTCAGCTTTCCGCGTAATCCCATTTCTTTTCTACTCCCAGCCTTTTCTGGGGCTGAATTTTTCAAAATCCTTTCGGTTGTCGCCAGGCACGCCTGACCCCTCAAGCTCTCCGGAGCTGTCTGACTCCTGGGACGGGTGGGGGCAGCAGGCAGGGGGGGTTTGTAAAGGAGGGACCTAGCATTCTGGGCCCTGAAATTCACAGCTTCTCTCTCTTTACACTCTTTTTGCCACTGACCTCCCTTTCCCCACCATTACTCTCCATAAGGCCACGTTTTAGTACACGTAGTTCCAAGTCCCAACCCTGTAGCCTGTGAAATCTGGGCATATAAGCAACACCTCAGACTTTTTTTAAAAACCAGTGTTTGTATAGAGATGCTTTCCAAGATTAACAATGTATGTGGGATGAGGACAGACCAGAATGAAGATCTTAAGAAAGACTAACAAGGGTATTCGCCCAGAGTTTTGGGGGTGGAGCTCATCCACCCAGCAGGCATGTCAGTCTGATAGTTCGCTCGCGCGCTCTCTCTCTCTCTCTCTCTCTCTCTTTCTCTCTCTTTTCTTCTGTTTCTCGTTTTTCTTTTTTTGTAGTACGAAAGCAAGTATTCAGATACACGTTGATAATGACTTACTGTGTTTTCACAGAGAAAAAAACGTTAAAAAGCTACAAATTCATTATCCCTCATGCACCAGTCCTACAAGTTAAGCATATTTAGAACTTTGCTTGCAGAGAACCGTGTGTGTAGGGTAGTTGGTGTAGAAACCCTTCTTTTATTGTGTAGTTATAGCTTACACTTCAGATTATGCCAGTAAGTTTCAGTTGGATCCTGTTGGTGTACCATGAAATTGAGCAACATTGTACATCCTGGCTGTGTGGTAATTAATTCTAAACTTCATAAAAAGTGACAATAAAAGTTTAGTAAGGAAATTAGAGACCTAGTGAGTTGAAAAAGAGTACATCCAAGCCTTGAAGTCAAGGAGGTTGGCAAGTCTTAAAGACTAGTTGGTTCCCTATTTGATTCAGTCTGTTGGTGCATGGGATTTATTGACACCTGCTAATATATACTTATGATTTCAGTACCTCGTGGCTGGAAAAGAAGTGTTTTGGTGTGTTGTTTGTTAATTAGAATAGAGGTAAGAAATTGGAGATTTTCTGTATCAAACTATTTCTTAGTTGCTTGTTTTTGTGTGTATGTCTACATTCAGCCGTACTAAGTCGCAGATAGCTTGTCAGGTATTTGCTTCTTTCTAGTTCTACGAATATGAAAAACAGCTGAAATGGTTAGTACTTTTTGTTATTTACTTAAGAGCATGTGAGACAAGAAAGTAGGGCCAAAGTACAGTATTTAGATGCACAGACCAAATTAAATAGTCCTTAATTTTTTTTTTTTTTTTTTTTTTTTTTTTTTTTTTAGTGAAGATTTACACCGTATTTTGTACCTAGAGTTTTTTCCTCATTGATATTAAAATGTGTGTTCAGTGGTTAGAAATTGTGTTCAGGTTTAGATTTTTAATATGGAGCTTACCAAACTAAAAGATCTGCCTTTGTAGCCCCTTGTCTAAACTGACAGTGAAGCAAATTTTAGTGCAAATAAGCATATTTATCCTCACACATTATGCCTTGCCACTATCTGAAAATAGCTAAGAGGGACAGTCATAGACACAGTTTGGCAGCCTCCAGCGGCAAATGTTCTGCAACAGAAATTAAAAATTAAGATAAGAGTTATAGGTGTAATGTAGATAGCTTTTGTGTGGCTTGAGCAGTGAGGGGACTCCTCAGATAACAACCTGGAAGTCAGTTTTAGGTTAGCTTCCACCAAGTCCCAGCCTAAGAATGATAGACAATTATTTTATTCCAGGTATTTATCAACAACCTAATAGAGATATTTGGAATATCTCTTATTCAATTATTATTGAAAGGAACCTTAAAGGTAGCTGGCTCATCTTATGGGCTTGCAATATGTAAAAGATGTGGCACTTTGCAAAAATTTTGGAGCCAAATTTCTATGTAACAGATACAAGTTCTGTTTTGGTTTAAATTTTTATTTTCATTCTCAAATCAATTAAGCAGTTTTGGAGCAGAATAATTCAGAAGCAGTAATCCTTATCTGAGAATCTTAATAGCTTAAAAGAATGAGCTAAGGGTGCCAGAAAGCCTAGTTTTTATGCCATACCTAGGCAATATCTACTTCCATTTTATAATAATGGTTTTAGAGTTAAAGAATGTTTTCTTTTTTCTATGTTGAGGATATATTTTTGGTCATTTTTAAAGTTCAGATTCTTTTTAAATTAAATATTGACAATTTAGTGGATATGCTCATGTTGGCAAACAGTTGGCATTAACTACGTTTGTCAATATTAAACTTAGTAACAGTTCAAGCACTTGGCCAGCATGTGAAGAAAGTGGTCATGTGAGAAAATGAAATGTGGGAGAAGAAAGAAAACCAGATTTGTTAAGCACCTACTGTATCAGATCCGTTAATTTGTCATCTGCACAATGCCTCAGAGAGGTTAGTAGGTTTTCCTGTCCTTCAGGAGTCTGAGGTTTCAGTACTTTGGGTAAATTTGCTAGGCTCACACAGACATGATACTGAAATCCAGATATATTTCACCACAAAGGCTATCTACACTATTTTAGGTAAACTGCTTTTTGGAATAAACTTGTAGAGAATCTATCTTACTGCTGTTTTTTTATACCCTCTCCTAGTTCTCATAAGCATTTAAAGCCTCAAAGAAACACACTTTCATGGCTTTATGTTGCACTGTCCAATATGGTAGCCACAAGGCACATGTGGCTTTTAAAAATTAATTAGATTAAATGCAATTTTGAATTGAGTTCCTCACTCACACTAGCCACATTTCAGGTGCTCAGTAGCCACAGGGCTATCATATTGAAGAGTGAAATCCATAAGGTATTTCCATCTCTGAAGATATTCTCATTTTACAAATGTGGAAATAAACTCCAAGAAATTTTGCCCACATACCTAGTAAATGGTAGAAATCAAATCCAGTGAACTGGCTTCACAAGGCATCCTCTCCCATTGTATCACAACATAATTTCACAGGTTTCCAGAGTCAATAGATTGGGAGGATTTTCAAACAATATAATTTTAAATAATTTAATATTACTGCAATGGAACTCTTCTAAAAACAATGTTTTTATTTTTTAGGATGGCAAGAGGTTTTACAGTTTACCTTACTAATTGTTTATCCCACATTTCTGAAATGTAGGTATTTTGCTTCCCCCTTATTCCATGTAGAGTATTTTGATATATACCAACACTGTATTTTCTTCAACTTAACTTTTAAATTACACTGTGAAAAATAAAAATAAGTCATACATAAGAAGTACCCAATGAAATGTCTAATATTTGGGAGGTTGGAGAAAAGAACACATGTGCCTTTTAAGTGGGTTTTTGGTTGGTTGGTTGGTTGGTTGGTGTGTTTTTTTTGAGCTTTATCTTCATCATGTTCACTTACAGACAGGCACAACCTGACCTACTCCTTCATAGATGTGCTAATTGACACTACCTAGCACTCATCCCAGCTTCTTGCTTCGAAGCCAACTGGGTCTGTTAAGGCTTAAAGTCCATTCACATCCATTATCTACCTGTAAGATAATAGGATCAGCTTAGTTTTCTGATGAATTTTAATAGTCTGCGCAAATGTATACGTACTAGTTTTTTTCTACAGTGCCTATTTGGTTGGCACCCCTGAGGGAATTGTATTTATATTAAATACTATTGCAAAGTATAAAAGGGTAGCTTAAAGCATGTATGAGGGCAGAAGATGCTATTAGAGCTGGAAGAGTCAATTTAGTAACATCTGGAGATAGCCATTCACATTCTTTTAGTAGTTCTTTCAGTCTATGACATAGCCCACTCCAACCCCCACCCCATACCCATGATAGACGTCACTAAATAACTGCTGTACTCTTAGAACCTGCATCCTGTCTCAAGATTTTTAATACAGGATTTCAGCTCCATTTTTAAATACTAAGGAGTTGCCTGTACATTACAGTGCTACCTACTTACTAGTTCTCAGATTTGACTTCAGCTTTGATTTGATTGGTATTACCTCATTGTTTCTTTTTCCGTCCTTTTACTTTCAACCAATCTGTGTTATGTTTTATTTTTCAGTTACAAATAACCAACAGCTGGATTTTTTTCCACTGAATCTATTATCAACACTATGTCTCTCTTTTTTTTTAACACTGCGTCTCTTAATAGCTTAGTTTAATCACTATTTGTTTAGTCATTACTAGTTAATTAGATTTATTTTTGCCATTTTATTTACTTGTTTCTCTTTGTCATACTTTTTTTTAAAATATATTTTATTGATTTTTTTACAGAGAGGAAGCGAGAAGTATAGAGAGTTAGAAACATCGATGAGAGAGAGAGAGAAACATCTATCAGTTGCCTCCTGCACACCCCCTACTGGGGATGTTGCCCGCAACCAAGGTACATGCCCTTGAATGGAATCGAACCTGGGACCTTTCAGTCTGCAGGCCGACGCTCTATCCACTGAGCCAAACCGGTTAGGGCTGTCATACTTTTCTTTGCCTCTTTTTTCCACCTTTTGCCCTTCTCAGATCAATTTTAAAAAATTATTTCACTTTTTCTCCTCTACTGATTTGGATGCATTCTATTTCTGTTCTTTGGTGATTTCCTTAAGTTTTTGCTAGAGACACTATTCTTCTGAACAAGATAAGAATTTTAGCTGAACATTTTTATGTGAATTAGGAAAAAAACCTCTCTCTTTA